GAGGCTCGTAGCAGCAAAGTCCATAGGACGACCCAACCCTGTAGTTTTCAAAGTTTTGAAAGACTATGGGGTGTTCAAGACGACCTTCACGGGTGGAAAAATGGCAAACAGTCTTTTCCAATTCCCAACTTTTCTGAAAATTTTCATTCTCAACGATTTCGAAAGCAACAAATAGGGCAAACCCCATACACCTGCCATTACTACCTTCTGTATCAATAGGTAGTTTGGCTATTACAGAAGACCCACTCATCCAATGTCTGCACCAGTTAGGAACTCTCGTACTATCAGGAAAATGAGCGCGAATTTCAAATGGCTTTTCATGATAAATTCGGTCCTGTACAAAAAAATAAAATTAAAACCAAAGAGAAAAACAATATTAAAGATGTTCAATATGAGAGAGAGAGAGAGAGAGAGAGAGAGTCAACACCTCAATGTATTTAGAAAAGAATAGTTCATCATGAAGTTCTTCGCGAACCGCAAGTTGGTGCCTTGTTCTATCTTCATCCTCATCGGAATTTTCACAAATCATGAAACTAAAACCGTTAATAGCAGTCCATACTGTCAAATTCCTTGAAATTGGCAGCATAGGACAATGACGTACATCTATGAACTTTATACTCAACGGAAGTTGTTTTGGCAACGACTGAAGGTTGCTACACCTAAACAACCCAAGTTCTCTAAGCTTAGAAAGCTGAGAGATGCTTTCAGGTAAGCTCACAATACCATTTCCACTCAAATCTAGACGCTTGAGTTCGACAAGCTGAGGTGGTTTAAATATTCTTTTCATCAAAGTATGCTGTTATGGAATTGGAAAAGAAAAAAGAGTTAATAGACAACTTAGTCAGTAATTATTCTAGCTTTAACTTAATCATAACTAATTGTTAGCCTAACTCAGCGCAAGAAATATACATAATCAAGTAAAAAATTGTCTTACACTTTCATGCCATAGGTGGATAAAGCGACTGTTAGGCATCTTGAGTTCAACAAGCTCACATGGTTTAAAACTTGATGGCAGAGATCCTAAAGGATAGTCAT